GATCATTTCAACCAGGAACTCTTACCTCCTCACACTTAAACGGAACCACGCCCTCGTGGCTAATAGTATTTTGGAATTGGAGTTAATGGTTGAAATGCTCACAGGCAATTACTAAGTTATCTAAATACTTACAAGATTCAATGATGAAGATTGAAATAATAGATAATCATAACATGAAAATATGAAATAATGCATAAAATATTCTCAAAATGGTCTTAAGAGTCATGAAAAGAAGAATTCTAACGTAAGATCATATAAATATCTAAAATTGATGTTCTGAATGTAGTAATAGGAAAATTAAGGATCTCACTATCCTTGACGTTTGCTTTGTTTAGGACCTGCCCCATGCTCGGCTTTCTTTGTTCCCTGTTCCCGGACGTAGTCAAGTATTTCCTCCACCTGCCACTGCTGCGTGAGAAGGAGCGTCTCCATGCTCCTTAAGCGAGAGTCTACAGAGTCTTGAAATGCAAACATACCTTGCGAAAGCTCGCGAAGGGTCATAGGAATCGTATGCTCCCTTCTAGGACGTGCCTCCTTGTCTTCCTTATTATAAACAATCTGGGCCAAATACTGTGTCGGTGGTCGGAACAGGATAAAAGGAGGAGACTCTAGATAGGAGGTTGGTGGCGGAAGTCTCCTCAGTTGATCCACATCATTAGCCTTGATTGCGAAATTGATTTCCTCCTTATCTTCAATCGGCTGACTATCCATTTGTGGTTTGATGATTACGACCATGCTTTCCCCCATGGAAGAGTCTTCAGTGTCACTCATCAGAAGTTCATCCCAACTCCTTAAGCTCCAACCATCCTTCGGGCAAACATCGTCACACCCGTCAAGTAGGGAGTCAAAGAAGGTTTGGTCTGAGTCTTCAGATGAAGCATTACGTACATAGGTTTCTATAGACGGAGTTGGCTTTTCTATGCAAAGTATTTCCTCGCCTGTAGATTCCTGCTCGGACTCTTGGACATTGGTATCTTGGGGGCAGGTAATGGGCTCTATTTCCTCTAGAACAGGTTCCTCTAGAGGTGTGCCTTCAACACAATTAAGGAGATGGTCGTTTATTGCCATAGGCAAAACTTCCTCCTCATTATTTTCTTGAATAAGCCTAGGTGGTTCTGAGTCAGGTCCCTCAGTTGGCTCCACCTCTTGTACGACTATGCTGGTTGAGACTTGGCTAGGAGGACATTCAGGTAACATCACCACAGTAGCCCTAGCGAGAGTTGTTATGCTCTCGGGTTTCTTTGATGGTGAAAAACTGGGTGAATCTTCTACAACTGGAACTTGATGGTTGAATGGTTTAGGGTTGGTCTTAGGTTCTAGAGCCTCGTTTTGAGCATTAACCTCCCTCATTTGATCTTGAGATTGGAGGTAGCGTTTAAGCTCAATAGCCTTACAGAGATCATTGACTAATTCATCAGCCTTAGCCTCAGCTTCTAGTCTCTCTCTTTGGAAGTCATCCAGCATTTTCTGAATCATATCTGATTCTTCGCATAATCTCCTTTCGAACTCCTTTTACTTCCGGACTGATTCAAGAAGTTTTGCTCTTTCTCGAATTGCCACCTTGTTTGCTTCAATTTGTTCTTCAGCAAACAGGGTGTAGTCACGGCAGTAGGGTGGTTCGTACTAGGAGCCTTCAGCAAATAGAACTTCGTCGAAATAGAAAATTTTCTGTTCTAATCTTATTATTTCTTCGACGAGTGGATCAGGTTGGTCTTCGTACATAGGCCCATATTGGTCGTAATCATCTTAGTCTTCATGAGGTTCATAATAATTATCCCCATCAGTGTCTTGGCATGGAGAATATCCAACGTTCCTAGACGGGGTATCATATGGTGGTTCCTCATGGTATGGATAGTAGTCAGACCCATTGTTGACTTGGTAGTCATCAGCATATGGGTTCTGATGTGGGTGATAAGGTGGGCGGGTTTGAAACGGAGGGCGGTTAGGTGATTGGTAGTAAGAAGGCGGTCCGTAATAACCATTAGAGTTATCCATGATAATTATTACGGGTGGTTGGTGAAAAGAAGTGAGAAGATCGTTCTAACCAATCTTCACCCAAGCTAATCAGAAGAAATTAAACTAATGCCGTGCCACTCCCCGGCAACGACGCCATTTGACAGTTGTAGTTTATCGGGTAGTAAACCTTCCCAGTAAAGGGTTAGTTTTCTCTCCGAGTGTCGTATCTCTCGAGGAGTGGACGAAGGGGATTAGTTTAATTACTCTAATTAGGCGAAGATTAGGACTGGTTTACGAAAGTCTTCTCGGAACGATTATAAAAAAAGGGAGCAGAGTAAAAATAATAAATTAAGTTTACATAGTATAAGTATAGATCTTGACCTAGGGTCAAGACATCATCTGAATCTATTTTATCATATTAAATTAACAATTGGAATAATAATATTTCTATTACTACTCATCCATTTCTAGATTTGTACTTAATCCGTTGCACTAGAATATCATAGCCTTTTGGCATACAATATTTTCTCAATAAATAGCTAATTAAATCTTTCGAGTTTAATTAACTAAATAAGGCAAGAACAATAGATTAACCATTCCAACATTAATTTAACATCAAAAAATAAACAACCAAACTAGTCCGGACCCAGAGATCTGGACCCTAACTCATACTATGCAAACATAAATTACAATAGCATTTTATTAAATAAAGAAAACTTACAACCTCCGTAAAAGCGGAACAGAACAGATTTGGAGTCAAAACCTCCGAAAATACTTCAAACTAACTACTAAAACTAATATACAAAGTATTTTAGGCAATTGAGAGAGGGGAATTCGAAATTGGGTTGTGTATGGATGATAAAAATGAGAAGAATCGTGGTGTATTTATAGGAACGAATCCAAGGCGTCCAAGTCCAAGCGTCTAGATCTGGACGCCTGAGCTGTCCCGGCCAACCAGATTTTGCCACGTGTCATTCTTGGGCTGCAATTAAGCCAAAGCGTCCAACTCCCAAGCGTCCAACTTGGCCAAGCGTCCAAGTTGGACGCCTTGAGGCCTTGGTCCGTTGGGCTTCGCGGCTGTTTCGTGATTTTGGCCCAATTTCGCTCCGTTTTGGTCCCGAACACTGTTTTTGACCTCCCGGAAGCTCGTTCAAGCCCGAATCTTGATCCCTTGATGATTTATTCCCTTTTTATCAAGTATTTGAACATAAAATGGATGATTTATGATAATTTCATGTGGAATCCCTTTTCATGACTCTTAGAACGAAAATGAGAGTTTTCCTCATTGAAAACACATTTTATGAGATGATTAAATACTATTTACGTGCAATAACGTTTAGAATATGATGTAAATGATAAGAACAAAATGGACTTATCAGATATGTGGGGGTGTGTTAGGCTTGTAGGCATTTTGGCCTAGGTTGGGTTTTGGGAGAGAAGCGTCATGGTTCGGGCTTTAATGTGGGACCTGTCAATGAGTTTAACCCAAAATGGATCATAACACCTAGGAATTAAACACTTGACTTGTTGTAACACTAGTGGCGTGTGTGAAGGTGCATCCCGGGGTATATCATCCTCCCCTTCTTCAAAAGAGTTTGACCTCAAACTCGGAATATCTTCTGGCTCAAAGTAGGGACTGAGGTCGGCAATGTTGAACGTGGCGGAGAGTCCATATTCTTCGGGTAGGTTGATCTTGTAGGCGTTGTCATTGATCTTTTCTAGTACTTCAAAGGGACCGTCCGCTCGGGGTAGTAGCTTGGACTTGCGTTTCGTGGGGAAACGCTCTTTTCTGAGGTGAATCCAAACTAAGTCTCCGGGTTTGAATTCGACAGACTTCCTTCTTTTGTTGATGCGCGCACTCACTCTTTCATTGGTGGCTTCAATCTTCTCTCGTACCTTGGCATGAAGGTCTTGAATCTCTTTAGCTCGTTCCTCGGCTTCCGCACTGTATTTCTACATTATCATAATAGGATCAAGTTCAAGTGGGGTAAGGGGGTTTGAGCCGTAAACAACCATGAATGGAGAAAATCCGGTTGTTTTGCTTAGTGTCCGGTTATATGCAAACTCTGCATGGGGCAGTAGTTCTTCCCATTGCTTTATAATCCTCTTGATAAGCACCCATAACAACGTACCGAGAGTTTGGTTGGTCACTTCTGTTTGACCGTCGGTTTGAGGGTGGTGAGAGGTGCTAAACTTGAGCTTGGTTCCCATCTTTCTCCAAAGTGTCATCCAAAAATGGTTAAGGAACTTGCTATCTCGATCTGATACCATGCTTCGGGGAATTCCATGTAACTTGACAATCTCATGGAAATAAAGATCAGCGATTTGTGAAGCATCATGTGTGGTTAGACATGGCATGAAATGGGCCATCTTTGAAAACTGATCTACCACGACCATGATTGAGTCCTTCCCTCGTTGTGTTCTAGGCAGCCCCGTGATGAAGTCGAGGCTAATATCTTCCCATGGTGCCGTGGGGATGGGGAGGGGAAGATAGATATATTCCTTGGGCTAATGAGTGGCTCTTGGCAGTTTGGCAAACAGCGCACCGTTTGATGTAGTGCTCCACGTCTCGTTCCATCTTTGGCCAATGGTAGTGTTCTCGCATAAGCATGTAGGTCTTCTCGATGCCAAAGTGACCAGCAAGTCCACCTCCATGCACTTCTTCAATGAGGGTCTCTCGAAGGCTGCATTTCGGAATGCACAATTGATTTCCGCGAAACAAGTAACCATCTTTGATGAGGAACTCTCCATGGGGCCGCACAAGACACTTTGAGAACGTGTCTTTGAAGTCTTCGTCTTCCTTATACAGCTCGTGCAAAAATTCAAAACCAACAATTTTGGCACTAAGGGCCGTTAGTAATAGGTGTCTCCGGAAGAGGGCATCGGCTCCTTTGTTCAAGGTTCCGTTCTTGTGCTTTATGGTGAAGGTGAAGGTTTGAATGTATTCAACCCATTTGGCATGACGGGGTCGAAGCTTGTGTTGTCCTTGAATATACTTCAAAGCCTCATGATCGGAGTGAAGTATGAACTCCTTGCTGACCAAGTAATGACGCAAATGTTCTAAGGACCGAACAAGAGCGTAGAACTCCTTATCATAAGTTGAATATCGCCTTCTTATACCCCTGGATGGCTCCAAAGATATCCCAACCCCTCCCAACATATCCAAAAGACTTTTATCTTTTATTTTATTCCAAAATAAAGCCTTTGCCATCTATTTTAAACCCTGGTCAATAATAAGAAACCAAAACCTGTTGTTTGTTGTTATTTCCTTTCTTTTAATAAACAAATAAAAACCTTCTCTCCCTCCCTTTGAATTCCTGGCCAAATATCCCTCTCAATCCCAACAAAACACCCACAAAGAGCCAAAACCATGACCCACCTCCAGCCCCTACTTCCTGCCCATATTCCCTCACAAATAACCGAAACCTATAATGCCAAAACCATCCCTAATATTACCCAGCCCTGGCCCCCTTTGTTTTCCAAACACAACACCCCATTTTGCCCAAATAATAGTCACAACACCCCCAAGAAACAACCACTACAAACCAAACCATAAAACCCCACAACACCATCCCCACAAAGTACAACCTATCCCTGATTTTCTCCCCACCAAAGGGACAACAAC